TTGACAGGGTATTCATTTGACTACTGCTCTCCGTGAAATACTCTCTTCTGATTTCCTTGACTTCACCCTATTCGACTCCTTGTGACTCTAATTCAGGGGATGGCCAACTGCAGCCCAAGACGTATATGTGGCTCTTTCAGTGTGTACATGTAGCTCTGAAGTAAAAGTGAAAATGAAAATATAATTCTTCAGATAATGGTGACTTCATTTGTTTGTAAAAATATAGGTATGGCTCGCAAATAAATTTTGAATTGTTGTAAGGGGCCAGATTGGTTCTTCCACCTCCAAAGTGTACAGGCCCCTGCTCTAGATCGTGGACTTTTACTATTCTGCCACACATGAAATGTAAGAGATTATCAAGACTTGATCTTAAGGCCACCTCTTCTCTGCCTCTTCTCCAAAAGCAATCTTATCCACTACCACTTGTCTACCAGTTTGTCAGACTGTGGTGGGTTGTGTGTTGTAATGCTAAAAGATATGCCACTCATAGTTCAAATGCCAGCAGGGACACCTGAAGTGAACAGGTTGCTGCAGGGCTTCCAGACTAAGAACAGACAACAAAGAAGGAAAAGTCATAGTTCTCTCCACTTCTGAGGAATAAGCCACTAAAAGCCCTGTGGCCGGTATTGTAGTCAATTACTGAAAACCTAATGAACGCCTAAAACAAAACAAAAAACACCTCATGCACAGGAGTGGAAATTTGTCAGAGATAGTGCCAGGAGATGAGTCCTTCAGGTCAGAAGACACCCAAAATATGACAGGAAGAGCTGCCTTCTCAAAGTCGAGTTGACAGAATAAGCCTGTGGGAGTAAAGCCTTTGGGACCTTCATTTGCTGATGAGACAGGACTTAAAATGAGAAGAAATAGCTGCAAAAATCTATTAATTGGAGCTTTGAATGTACAAGGTATGACTCTAGGAAAATTTGAAGTTAAAATGCAATGCAAAAAGATCGACATTAGTAAGCTGAAATGGACTGGTTTGGCCATTTTGAGTAAGAAAAGCATGGTTTACTCTGCTGGGAATGACACAAGAGGAATGGTGTTGCAGTCAATCATCAGAAAGGACATTTCAAGGTCTAAAAGTACAGTGCTGTCTGATAGGATAATGTCTATCTGCATATAAAGAAATTCAATTAATACAACGACTATTACAATTTATACACCTACTAATAAAGCTTGTGATGAAGAAATCGAAGAATTCTGCAAATGTCTTTAGTCTGGAATTGATCAAACATGCATCAAGGTGCATTAACAATTATTAGTGCTTGCAATGCAAAAGTCGGAAACAGAG